ATTTGAAAAACATAACTTCAGCATTTAAAATTTGCAATGGAAATCTTAAAAATCTTCTTTAATAAGCAGGCCCTGTGGGATAATCTGTATTCTGTTTCTTATTTTTCAGGTCCTAATGACAAGAAAAGGCCTCTTGCTTCTCAAATCACTTTGCATTTATAAGTATATTTTCCATCTAAGTCTATAAAGTTTATATTTTCCACACAACCAAGTTATAGTCTCTTCCAACACAGACTCAGTCTTATTTATCAAGCTCCCCAACTGATACTGCATTGTCTCTGCCCTCCACACTATTTTCTGCAGGCAGAGTCCTAACATGACAAGTACTACCTCTGAGTGACAGCAGCTCCATAGGAACAGCAGAGCCACCCACAGCTAGATGGCAGCTTGTGATACCGCCATGGTAAGCTGGGTGTCCCACCTAGATGCTGGAGGATACGTTTCTTTCAACATAGATATGTTATCTTCTGGTCCCTAAATAAAGACTCAACAATTGTTTTCCCCATTCTGTCTGAATTCTATGCTAACTCAATCATGTCACCAAAATTATATCCCTGAGACTATCCTTAAAGAAATGTTACTATAAACTTGGGTTAAAAGTAAGAAAAACCGAGAAAATAGTACACAGACCAAGAATGTATTACATATGCTGTCTTTTCTCCTGAATTCATCTGGGTGAGAATTTCCAAATGTGCCATGGGACAAATGCCATTCTACATGCAATTACATCCCACAGGAAAAGGAAGATTCTGGCAAGTCAGCTGAGAAAGTTAAACAGTAAAAGGTTCTTAAACACTAACCCTAAAGCAGCAATTTCACACAGAGCTATTTCAGGAGGAAGGCCACTGAATATAAATGTTCCTCAGCCCTTGAGCTCCCAGGAGAATGACTGAGGTAATGGCAACCAATAACAATGTAAATCTCAATTTTCCTAAAGCAATCTTAATTTTATAGAGATAATGAGAACATATAAAATGTTATTAGCACGGCACTCACATAATCCCTTCAAGTAAGAACTTCGCTCAGTTTTCAGGTAAAGTCAAATAAAATCGGCTCTACTAACTAAGCCCATAATTAAATAAATAGTTCGTATGTCTGAAGGAATCATCATATAATCTTATTCACCCATGTAATATCAATATATAAGCTACTTTTCTACTTAAGCATAGTTTGATTGGCCCATTGTAACACACTCTAGGGACTGCCGCCATGTGTAAATGACAGGGAACCTGAATTCAAAATTTTAAGATTTCAAGGCAATAACAAATCTAAGTATTTGTTCTATCCTGAAAGTTTCACTTTCCTAAGCAACTGTTTTTAATCTTTTGCATTCTATACTACCATTACAAATAGAAACAATGATTGTCTCTCCAATAAGAGATATATGTTACATCTTTAGGGTCTTTGCAATGTTTTATGTGACTGCCAATCTTAACACCTGAGGATACCACTCAACTAGTTAACAACAGAGGTATTTCCCATTCTCATTCCACAGACAGCACTGAACTCGTGTCCTTGAGGTAACTCTCTGTTCCTTTTGCATACTGTCAGCAATCAAAACCACAAACTCCAAAAGGAAGGAGGGCTCAGTTCTCTAAGAAACATATTCATCAGGTGCTATGGTGTTCAAATGCCTACAAGAACCAAAACAGTGTTCATCTGCACCAAATCTACCTTCCCTTCCCACCCTTCTCAAAAGATGGCTACCGAGAGCCAGTTTTTCTTATTTAGTTGTTTAATTAAACTATTACATGATAGCAAAAATACTTCAACGTTACAAAGTAAACAGAGACTAACACTGTAGAGCAATTGCCCCTTCTGGACAGTAGCCCTGTACCTTCACTGCATGAAGGCAGGTCACAGGGCAAGGTCTGCCCCTTCACTGAAATGAAAGTAGGTCACTTACATGCCACTTCCAATTTTCCATAGACACAAAATGAAGCCAAAACCCAAACCAAATCTGTAGGTTCCATCTTGTCATCTGAGTTTGTTAAGTTCCATCTCATAGAATGAGGTGAGGCAATCTATGGCATCCAAAAACAGCCAACCACTTGCACCATGTGACCCCAAGGATCAAATCAAAGTTGTCAGGCTTGGAGGCAAATACCTTTTCCTGCTGAGCCTTTGCATTTGCCCTCATCTTTCGTATACTGTATAATCAGACAGAAATCAAAGAATGTCAATGCTGTGAGAGTCCTGCACAGGCTTCTCATCTCATGCTCCTGTAAGTCCTCCTCAGCCTCAGCATTAGGGACATTTCTCCAAATTATGTTTGCAGGAACAACCTTGCCCATGGAGCAAGAAGCATGCTCACCCACTTACTGCATGCTATAAAAGCAGCTAAGTTCCCAGGTTCAATACTGCTGTGCATCAACACAAACTCATGGCTGGGTGGGATGAAGCCACCTGGATAACTCCCTATTACCCCATGGAACCCAGAGCAATGGACTGACTTATATGCTGATGTGCATCCCATCTGGTGACCTAAGCAATAAAGTCCTTTCTCCATGACGCAGACATCCCTCCTCTGATACAGGTGAGACAGCCAGAGGCCACAGAGGGCTTGTGCATGAGTCATAATGGAACCCAAATATTTATTTACTTGTTCACTCACATGCTTATTCAGAAATGTCCTACTATTTTTATAAGCCCATGCACACTGGCAATCCCCCAGCTCTGATAGCATGCCTAATTTCTTATGTATTTGGTCATTTAAGCACATTACTATAAATACATATATGATGAAATATCTCACTCCATATTAGGTTTCAGAAAGAGTTATGGCACTCCAATAGAATCCAACTGTCACAAACTCATCACCTCACTTCTAAACAAGGAGCTAGAGGGCTACATCCTGCTTGTGAAAATAGACTTACCAACCAACTCTGCCTTCCTCTCTCCCTAAGCACAGAGCATTTCAGAAGAAGCATTCAAAGTTCTAGGCAGAGACCTAGAAGTCCCACCAGCTGAAGTCAAACTGTTCTGGGCCTAACTCTGCTTTCCCTTGTCACAAGAAAGCCAGAGCACAGAGAACCGCATCTTTTTCCACTAGTGATTCCAATAACCTGAGTTCAGTCTATACATGAAGGGAACATTCCTGCTGCTTTGTCCAGTGCTGGAGTGGTTTATGGAGTGTGGCCCCGCTGAAAGGCTAGAGAATGAACTAGATGTCCTCTCAAGATGCCTCTCAGCCTGAGAATCCCATGATGTGCTTATAATGGAATTTGGCTGCTCTTATAATTAGAAATGGAGCTTGCTAGTCACACATCTGGATCAGATAAACCTGCACAAATAGCACTTCACCAGAAGCAGAAATGCCAAGCATTCAACAGCTGTGCTGTGACATCAGCCTCACAAATAACAAGGAATACTACTTATCCATAGAAAGGAAATGATTAGGACAGGCAGGAATAAAGCTTAGTTTATTCAAGTTAATCTTTGTGCAGGAAAATGTTTATAAAAGAAAAATACGTATTGGACAAATTTCATATTAATTTATAAGTGGTGCAGAAAAGAATTCCCATACATCAAAAGACCTCAAACACTAAAATACTATTTATTTCTTGCAATCATAGTGAATGATGAGTCTCCTGTTATTGAACTATTATAGACATCATAGGTATCCATGACTTACAGCAATGTGTAACAAACTAGAATCAAAGGGTCAAATGCACTCAAGAAATAGTCACATCCATAAACCAAGTGTTGAAAGTTAACCAAGTTTCACCAACATGATGTTTCGAGCAAAGGGAAAACTGTTGCATTAAACAGAACAAAATTCTTCCTGGCCAATCTGGCTAACCACTACTTTGAAGCACATCTCCAAAGTCTGGAAGCTTAATGCACTAACCCAATTCCTCTGAGGAATAAATGGAAAATTCAATTTTCCCAACAACCCACACCTAGGAATTCTAGTTCTGGGCCAATGGTTTTTGTACAATGTCAAGAAAAGGGGAGCTTAGTGTATAGCTCAGTGGTAGAGTGTTTGCCTAGCATGAGCAAGACCTAGGTTCAACTCTCACCACTGAAAAAGAAGGAGACACGAGAGGAGAAGAAAGGGGCAAAAACAGTAAAACTCAAAATCCCAACGAGACAAAAGAAAGGCCACAGGGTTTCCATTTCTGATTGATGAAAAAATAGGCAGAAGATCAGAAAAGAGGCAAATTTCCATGGTTTCTACAACAGGAGACCCCAAAAGGTAATTAAATCCTTACTTTGCATAACCTACAAGCACTAGTAAGGCTCATGGTTTCAGCCAGTCTTAAGGGATACAAGAGGAAATGGACCAATAATACTTAGAGAAACAGAAAATGAACCACAGGTTCCAGTCTTTGCATATCACATTTTAAACAAACAAATCCTTGGCACAAATGACCTCCTGATGATCCACCCATCAGTTTTCAAAGGATCTTGATTTACTCCCAAGCCCTGGGAAACAGCTTAAGAGTGGAGCTCTTATCTGGAAGGATCAGCCAGGACCTTACATGGTCAGAACAGCAACTTAGGCTCTTCAAAGAATCCAACACCCAGATTCAAAGACTCTAAATGACATAAAGTTGTCTGTAGCATGTGAGATGCCCTAAATAAATTCAAACAATGAACTCATAACTTATGTATGTATTCCTTGGGGATGAGCATGTTTTTACTTATATGAACATCAACTTTGAACCCATGATCTGCTAATCTGCCTATCAAAATACAGGTGAGAGCTAGGCTCTCAGCCCCACCCCAGAATGAACTGCAGACACATGATTTGTTCCCCTTAAGCTAACAATAGCCCCAAATTCCAAAATTTGAAACAGAATGCCTTCAACCTGGAGACTTCCAAGATACAGTCAGTACCAAACTATGCCAAATTTCCACTCTGTGTGTCTCCAATTCTTCCCTAATACTCCAACAGGCAACATTGGGACTCTGGGAAGCCTGGTGGCACACATACAGCCACACACTTAGTAAGTTCACTGGGGATGTGAGGGTGAACTTGAATGTTTTATACTCACTCTTATTTTTCTGCTTCTGAGTTGTGCATCACTGTTTTGCTGACTAAGACCAACTCGTCCTGGGCCTTTGAGAATCTTTACAACCACAGACAAAGAAGAGCACAGACTGCAGGAGTGACTTTCTGCTGCTCTGCTTTTCTTCCAGGAACAGTACCCTCCAGGACAAGTAGAGACTTGCCAAACAAACAAGGAGCACTTAGAATGAAGCCTGGCTCCCTCCCCACACCCAGTACCTTCCTTTAAGGGCACTGGCAATTTCCCAGATGCAGCTATCTAGGAATCACTTATCATCACCACATACTCAGAAAAAACCTGAGTGTCAAGTGAGACCTTCTGCCTTGCTGGTTAGAAAACATGAAGGACCCTCCTCACAAGGTTCTTTCCAATTATCGAAGACTTATTAATTCACTTCCCATTGGCTGACTTCCCTGCTCTTTCTTCCTCATAACTTAGCAAAAGCATAGGGGTGGGTGGGTGGGTGGGTGGGTGTGTGTCGCCCAAACTCATTCTCCCCAAGCTCTCCAGCTTTGGAAAAAGCCTTAGCCTGTTTAGGATGTTAACAGCCAAGAAGACCGTGCAGGCTCCTAGAACTCGTGTCTATTTCTTACTTCTCTTCAATCAGCACACACAATATTTAAGTCTCTGCTCAAATTCTTTGTCGACAGCGTGACTTCTGTCCAGTCCTTACAAAAATCCACAAATTCCTATTTTTAGCGCCATGTCTTCCCAATTCTGGGATAAATGCTGACATTCCTATGAAGTCTGAGTGAATTACCACCAAGATCACATATCATCAGACCAAAAACTAGAGAGCTCACCTCCTATATCACAGTCAACATATGGTAAATGAGCATAGGTCCAGCGCGATCAAGGGGCTTTTCAGCACCAAATGAATGCAGGCACATCGCGATCACGTGACTCTTCTTCAACACGGGTCAAATGACCACAGGCCCATCGTGATCACGTGACTTTTCTTCCAAAAGCTGTTTCGCGGGACTGTGTGACACCCCACCCCCACTCCGGTTGCACGAATGCCCCTCAAATCGTTGAAAATAAAGAACCTCCCTGAATGGCGGCCAGCCAGCAGAAATCTACCAATTGAATACAAAAGAATTTAGTATAGACTTCCCTCAGTAATGACCAATGTGAAAACTAAATATGCCTATACAATTATTCAGTGGGCAGCCTGCTCGTTTCAAACATGCTAGTATGGAAGGCAGAGGTGGGCTTTTTCACATGCCAAAACTAACATTTCCAAATGACAAAAGGGACATGGCAGGTTATGCCGCTCAAGTGGTTCATACCACCTCCAGCAGATACAGAGATCATCACATCCCACTGACAGGCGCATCTGCAATAGCTTGCTCAAATTCAAGATTCCATACACACTGGCACATGATCAAACAACTTCTTCTAAATGTTAAACCAAGGGAAGGTGCATTTTACAAACTGAAAAAAGCAAGTTGTTGTTGCATGTGCTGGTGGGGATGTCACAGGTGCATGCATGGGGGTGGTATATTCATACAAGTAACACTAAACAGTCTGAGCAAAACCAGCAACATCTACAGAAAAAAAAAAACAGCCATAATTCTATAATTCTGAAAGGAAACAGGCAAGGATGTGCAAGGAAGCAAGGAGATCTTTGACCATGTATTCATGTTTGGAAACAATGAGATAGGAAAATGTGGCAAAGGCACTTCTTGCCATGCCTGATGACCTGAGTTCAATTCCTCCAGAGACTCACATGGTAGAGGAGAACGATTCACCTCACCTGTCCTCTGAGCATCTCATGGACACACACACACACACACACACACACACACACACACACACACACCACACCACACCACACCACAGACAACACACACACATTTAAATTTCCTTCTTTGGCAGGGGGGGAGTCAAATACTTCTATAGCAAAGGCCAGATTACAGAAAATAATTCACTCAACCACACAGGGGGTCAAAGTCTTTGTTCCCAGAAGGGAGGGTGCACTTGTGAATTAGGTGCTGTAGTGTCCCCAGCTTTACTTCTACACCTGATGTAAATTGCCATCTGTTAACTTGGACTAGAAAGCTCTGATCGATAGCTATGTAGGTCAGAGTAATGGAAATGAAGAGCAGTATGTGCAGACACTCCCAGATGATCTTCACACCCCTGGACCACAGTCTTCCCTATGGACTATGGTCAGAGAGGATGCTTGCTTCCCAGGCCCCAGTGTCATCGAAGGAACAGTTAGTCCTCTCAGAGATACCCCTCTGTTTTCTGTGACAAACTCCTTCCTAATTTACTAATTTTTCAAAAGATGTAAGATTCAGACCACTTCTAAAAGATGAACAGCAGCTTCACTTACGAAGATATTTTTGATGTACCAGATTTCTTAAATTATCTTATTACAACGACCATGTCATTTTGTAATATTGTTTTAGCCAATCAAATGTTAGGCCTTGGTTACTTTTCCTTGTCTAATTCTACTTATCTAGAGTCATTGTAAGGCTGTACTTGCTGTGTATGTGACTTTACTGGCTTATATGATTTTATGTGTATAGACAAGTGTTTTCTAACTCAAATATAACCTTTGAAGGTAGGCACTACATCATTTATTTACTTGGTCTACAACAACTTCATTCCAGCACCACAAATTTTTTAAAAGGAATTTGAACCTCTAAGACGATCAATGACTCAAATATGCCCAGATAATATAATTCTGGGAGACTCCGAATTTTGTTTCCAAAGGACATATCAAGTTCCCAAAGAGCTAAAGACTGTCTTACTGTTTGGGGACACAAACTGACTATGTACATACCTTTCCTAAACCATTACGAACCTCAAAATAACCTTCTAGCTCTAACTTCAAACTACCTTATTCAACAGGTTAAAAATCATAAAGGGAACAATATACATAGCTCTCTTCAAATGTGTGCTCAAAAGTGGGCCCTGAATGCCAAACAAGCATGCCATTATATCAAGCTGCAAAGGAATACACATGACCCAGCTCTACACAGGTCCTCTGAGAAAGCACCTGGATGACACACTGTCACAGTCCTGGAGGCTAGGGCAAGTCTCTACAAAGTCTAGCTGGGAGCACAATCTCTGAGACTGTGGTGGCCACAGGAACCATGAACTGTCCTTATACACAGTAGAAGTAGTAAACATGGGCAGAGCAAGAATACGTGGAACGAATATATAACACAGAGACAGCAGGAAAAAGAGTCCATCCCAGTTCAATTCTAGCTTGCAATTGCATGTCTCCATTACTATATTTTAAAAATACTACAAATCCAGGGACAGTGCTCAGGAGGGTATTAAGTCAAAACACCAAATTGAGTAAGGGCAACCTCAAGAGCTGGAACCCATAAGCACAGAAAGGAAGGGCTTACACCTAGCAGAGTACCACAGCCAAGCCGTTGGAGCTACCTCTGTGAAGAAGCAAACTTCTTCTTGGTTGCTATGCAGTTGTTTCTTGAACTGCGGGTCAAAACCCACTCCTGGGCATATAAACAATTTGGTGGGCCACGGGTTGGCATTCTTTCAATAAAAAGTAACAGGATCAAACTGCATGGCGAAGAGAAATGGCAAGTGTGGATTTGTGGAACTTCTGATTCGGTTATATGAATATAAATATCTGTGTGTTTACAAGCACACTGGAGCCATTCAGAACAATGAGAGATTTCCAAAGTCAAGGCTTAGCCTGGGTCTCTCTCCTCACAGCTGAAGCCCCGTGCAGGGCACATGCCTAGACATCAAGAGGGAACCTCTGTGGCCACCTGGTTAGCTTTTTTCACAAAATGAAGATACCTAAAGGCACACAGAAAGACAGCATCAAGGCACAGGCTACAGTCCACATGGGTCCTCACAGTTAACACTATATAAGATGACAGACATCATACACCTCAGAGGGCCAGACATGGGAATTATCAACATACAAACAATAAAGAGACTTTATTTATAAAACTCAGAAGCCCAATCATGCTTTAAAGAAATAAGGAAAAACTAAAAATAAATGAGTGGTTCATAATAAATCCGACAATAGAATTTGCAAGATAATTAGCTAGCTTTTTGGCTAAAATTAAAAAACAAGTGAACTATTTTAAAAAAAATGAAATTTTTCATTATGGAAAAAACTAAAGCTTTCTTTAAGAGGCAGAGTAAAGCAGAACAAACCTCCAGCACTCCTGCCAGAGAACCAGGCACAGTGGCCACAGGTGTTCACCTCTCTCTCCCTGCCCCTTCAGACCCAACAGTCCCTCAGCTCTGCAGCAGAGCACCTTCATCGTCCTCCTGCCACCTGCCCTCCAACCCCATCTCCTGTGGATCCCACAGACCTTCCCCTCCTAATCTCCCTCCTCACTGGGGGCTCTGTCTCAGCCCCCAGACAGGCTCACACACGCGTGCTCTCTCTGTCTCTCTCTGTCTCTCTCTCTCTCTCTCTCTCTCTCTCTCTCACACACACACACACACACACACACACACTACCACCACCACCCCACCACCCATGGCTAACCCAAGGCCACTCCTGCCAGGGAAGCAGGTAGGCTGACTGAAAATCTTGCTCTCTCCATTTGTTCCTCTAGTCCCAACCCCCACAGTCTCATCCCCAGCTCTGTAGCAGAAAACCTGCAGCTGTCTTCCTCTCCTCTCCCACCCCAGCCCCAATGGGTAACAAAGATCCTCTTCTCCAACCTTCCTTCCTGCAGTGCATCCCAATATTCCAGGCTCTCAATATCAGTTGGCATTCCCTGTGACCCCACTAACTGAGCCAGCCAGGGAAACAGGAAGATACTCCAATTTTTCCTCTTACATTAATGATCAACTATGTAATCTTTCATAAACCTAAAACTCAATTTATATACTCAAACTACACAAGGGACATTTTCATTGAAATTATAAAATCATTTTCTGTATCTTGGTTATGTTACTCACTTTTAATAAAATAATGGCAAGATTCTTCTTTAAAGAAAATTACCTGTAATAAAATAAAAGTTAGTCTCAATGACTATATACTTTATCTTTTGGTAAGTTGTGGAAATTTAAAATCTCAGAAATCAAAATGCCCTTTGTTGTGCCTTCCTGGTAAAGAGGCGTGAACCCCCGAGCCTTGAGTGTCTGCGGAACGTGGAAAGAACTGTTTAGTAAGACTGGTTTGCTCAACTCC